GCATATATATATATATATGCTTATGAACCTAATTCAAAAAAGAATCCAAAGATCATTAGTGCCTTTTCCAGCCCTGCAACGAAGGTAACGCAGGCAGTGATTGACAAGCTGCTGATCAGTTTTTTCTGTGAAGGAAGCCAACCATTTTCTATTGTAGAACTACCGTCATTTAGGAAAATTATAGAAACCTAATGTCCCCCACAATGTGACAAAAAACGGTTATTTTGATGCTTTGGGGGGCATTTTTCAGGTCCCCACAAAGATCTGTCAATACAATCAAAAAACTAAAAATGCCAGAAGTCTTGTATTTGGTTGGATTACTTATGGTTAAAGTTAGGGCTGGGAAGGAGTTAAGGTTGTCATGTTGGGATTACAGTTTTCCCCATAGAAATGAATGGTGAGTCTCCACGAAGATATAATTACAGACCTGTGTGTGTGTGTGTGTGTGTGGTATCAGATCAGTCCCTGAGAGTTCAGTAGTCTGACTCCATGTTTCTGAGTCTGGGTGTGAAGGCCTGAATGCTTTTCCAGACGCTAGGAGGGCGAAAAGATAATGTGAGGGGTGGGTGGGGTCATCCACAATGTTGGTGGCTTTGCAGATGGAGTGTGTGATGTGAATGTCCATGACGGAGGGGAGAGAGACTCTAATGATCTTCTCAGCTATCCTCACTATCCTCTGGTCTTGTGATCTGAGGCTTAGAAAAACATGTTGTGCTGCTCAACCTTGGCACAATGATATGGGTGAAACATGGACGCAATAGAATTTGGGGATGATTAGTCCATACAGGGACAGAATCATTCCATACCTCAATCACCTCGTACGTATGTCTGCTAGGTGGAGTTGGAGTTGCTCCTAACTGTGCACAAAGGAGTTGAACAATCACAACTTCCCAGAATATTACAGTAACAGGAGCACAGTGAACAACTCTTATTAATTCTATGCTGTGTGGACGATGTAATCGTCCACCAGTTCGCCTTAATACACAGGACATTCAAGCCATTACAGAATACAAACCCACAAATGCAGCTCCCTCCACCAGCAACGCCAAT